TGACATTTTTAAAGATCTAAGCTCATCTTGATGTTATACTCATCAAAAGCTTTCATTTGAGTACCCACATGCATTTTTGATATATTTTTCATATATACATATATATATAAAATATATGAAAAATTGATGTGGGTACTTAAATGAAAGGTCTCGATGAGTGTAATGTCGGAGTGAGCTTATATCTTTAAAAATGTCAATAATTCTCAAGATACAAAGTCATTTCTTAATTATGTATCTAGAGATAGAGCATTTTCGAATGCAGCCTAAATTGACTATCGGTGAGAATAATATGAAACTTTGAAAAAGCACAAATTCAAGTCAAGACCTTTGCAATGACACTAAATTTCACTAAACAAATCGATTTTATTATATCGACGTTCTAATTAGCAAATTGTCTAACTCCATTTTAGAAAATCTTCCATTTGTTCGAAGAAACAATTTGTAAAAATTTTATTATCACTTGAAAGAACGATTTAATATCTAATAGAGGTATAATATTTTGGTTTGGATCATTTAAATAATTTATAATTGGACTATTGGTACTTTCAAATGTTAAAAAATCACTCTCTACAAAATAAGTAGTTAGACCAATTGCAAATCAGACTGCCGATATGACTACCCTAGAGATAAATTTTTTTTTCATTCTCTTAATAATATAGATAATTAATTTTTTCAATTAAAATATTTTTATTGTAAAATTTAAATTAACGCTCAGTTAATTAATGTAAAAATACCAAACTTAAAATTTTTATAGTTAATTAATTCAATAATGAATTTATTTATAAAATCAATTGGTAAATTAATATCTAAAAATATTTAAATTAAACCCTAATGCTAAATATATTATTTAGATGCGTACGAGAGCGAAGACGCGGAGGAAATTTCATCTAAACTATGGCAAGAAGCCTGTTGGATCGTAATAAACGCCTACTTCGACGAAAAAGGTCTCGTGCGTCAACAGCTGGACAGTTTTGATGAATTTATTGAGATGTCCGTTCAAAAAATAGTCGAAGACTCACCACCAATTGATTTGGAAGCAGAAGCTCAGCATACATCAGGCCTAGTAGAGACTTCAGTAAAGCATAAGCTCAAATTCGAGCAAATTTACTTATCAAAGCCCACTCACTGGGAGAAAGACGGAGCACCGTCACCAATGATGCCTAATGAGGCACGTCTCCGTAATTTAACTTACTCAGCACCCTTGTACGTTGACATAGCCAAAGCAATGCTAAAAGGAGAAGAAGATCCAGTAGAGACTCAACATCAAAAAACATTTATCGGTAAAATTCCTATAATGTTGCGTTCAAAATATTGTTTACTGGCAGGTTTATCTGATCGTGATTTAACGGAGTTGAACGAATGCCCGCTGGATCCTGGTGGTTATTTTATAATTAACGGCTCCGAAAAAGTATTGATAGCCCAAGAAAAAATGGCAACTAACACAGTTTACGTGTTTAGTATGAAAGATGGTAAATATGCTTACAAAAGTGAAATACGTTCTTGCGTTGAAAACAGTTCACGACCTACATCAACACTTTGGATCAATATGATGGCACGTAGTGGAGCCAGTATTAAAAAATCAGCAATTGGTCAGCATATAATTTCAATTTTACCTTATATTAAACAAGAAATTCCCATAATGATTGTCTTCCGTGCTCTGGGCTTCGTCGCTGATCGTGACATCCTAGAACACATTATTTACGACTTCGATGACCCAGAAATGATGGAGATGGTCAAGCCATCTCTGGACGAGGCTTTTGTAGTTCAGGAACAAAACATCGCACTTAATTTTATTGGTAGTCGTGGAGCACGCCCAGGTGTTACAAAAGACAAGCGTATAAAATACGCACGAGAAATATTACAAAAAGAAATGCTGCCTCACGTGGGTATCAGTGACTTTTGTGAGACGAAGAAAGCTTACTTTTTAGGCTACATGGTCCATCGTTTGCTGTCTGCTGCATTGGGACGTCGTGAGTTGGATGACCGTGATCACTACGGTAACAAACGTCTTGATTTAGCCGGGCCACTTCTTGCCTTCTTGTTCCGTGCTCTATTTAAAAATCTAATGAAGGAGGTACGTATGTACGCACAAAAATTCATTGATCGTGGAAAAGATTTTAACTTGGAGCTGGCTATCAAGACAAAAATCATCACTGATGGTTTGAGGTACTCTTTAGCCACGGGTAATTGGGGCGATCAAAAGAAAGCTCATCAAGCACGTGCTGGTGTCTCTCAGGTATTGAATCGTTTGACATTTGCATCAACATTGTCTCACTTGAGACGTGTCAATTCGCCCATCGGTCGTGATGGTAAGCTGGCTAAGCCACGTCAATTGCATAATACTCTTTGGGGGATGCTGTGTCCTGCTGAAACGCCAGAAGGTGCTGCTGTAGGATTGGTGAAAAATCTAGCGCTGATGGCTTACATCAGTGTTGGTTCACAACCTTCTCCGATTCTTGAGTTCTTGGAGGAGTGGTCGATGGAAAATCTTGAAGAAATAGCACCTAGTGCCATTGCAGATGCCACGAAAATTTTTGTAAATGGTTGTTGGGTAGGAATTCATCGTGATCCTGATCAGTTGATGGCGACTTTACGTAAATTGCGGCGTCAGATGGACATTATTGTATCTGAAGTATCAATGATTCGTGATATTCGTGATCGGGAAATACGTATCTACACTGACGCTGGTCGTATCAGTAGACCTTTGTTGATTGTTGAGAATATGCAGCTGTTATTGAAAAAACGGCACATTAACATGTTGAAGGAACGCGATTACAATAACGACGGTTGGCAAGAACTGGTCGGAAGTGGTGTCGTAGAGTATATTGATACACTTGAAGAGGAAACTGTAATGATTGCAATGTCACCCGATGATCTAAGACAAGACAAAGAAGATTCTTACTGTGCGACCTATACCCACTGTGAAATCCATCCAGCTATGATACTGGGTGTTTGCGCATCAATTATACCATTTCCCGATCACAACCAGAGTCCTAGGAATACTTACCAAAGTGCTATGGGTAAACAAGCTATGGGTGTTTATATTACAAATTTCCATGTTAGAATGGACACACTTGCTCATGTGCTTTATTATCCGCACAAACCACTTGTCACTACACGTTCAATGGAGTACTTGCGGTTCCGTGAATTGCCGGCAGGAATAAACAGTATTGTTGCTATTTTATGTTACACTGGTTACAATCAAGAAGACAGTGTTATCTTGAACGCTAGTGCAGTTGAACGTGGTTTTTTCCGTTCAGTTTTCTATCGATCGTACAAAGATGCTGAGAGTAAGAGAATTGGAGACCAGGAAGAACAATTTGAGAAACCAACGCGACAAACTTGTCAAGGAATGCGTCATGCTATTTACGACAAGCTTGATGACGACGGTATTATTGCACCTGGAATTCGTGTTTCGGGTGATGACGTTGTTATTGGTAAAACTATTACATTACCTGAGACTGATGACGAATTAGAAGGAACGACAAAACGATTTACTAAAAGAGATGCATCAACTTTCTTGCGTAACAGCGAAACGGGAATTGTTGATCAAGTTATGTTGACTTTGAACAGCGAGGGATACAAGTTCTGTAAGATAAGAGTAAGGAGTGTACGTATACCGCAGATTGGCGATAAGTTTGCGTCGAGGCACGGACAGAAAGGTACTTGTGGTATTCAGTATCGGCAAGAGGACATGCCGTTTTCATGTGAAGGTTTAACACCCGATATTATTATCAATCCTCACGCTATTCCATCTCGTATGACAATTGGTCACTTGATTGAGTGTATTCAAGGGAAGGTTTCTGCCAATAAGGGTGAAATTGGTGATGCTACGCCGTTCAACGATGCTGTCAATGTACAAAAAATTTCTACTCTGCTCCAAGAATATGGATATCATCTAAGAGGAAATGAAGTTATGTACAATGGACACACTGGAAGAAAAATAAATGCCCAGGTTTTCTTAGGCCCTACTTACTATCAGAGATTAAAACACATGGTGGATGATAAGATTCACAGTCGTGCACGTGGTCCAGTCCAGATTTTAGTCAGACAGCCTATGGAAGGTCGTGCTAGGTAAGATAAATAAATCATCAATTAAATTTATCAGTAAATAATCATAATATTTTTTTAGACAAAAGTTAAATTTATTAATTTCATAAATAAGTATTGTTATTTAACATTTTTAATTTTTTTTCAGGGATGGAGGATTACGTTTTGGTGAAATGGAGCGAGATTGCCAGATTTCCCATGGAGCTGCACAGTTTCTACGTGAACGTCTATTTGAAGTATCCGATCCCTACCGTATTCATGTTTGCAATTTCTGTGGGTTGATTGCAATCGCTAATTTACGTAATAATACTTTTGAATGCAAAGGATGTAAAAACAAAACACAGATATCTCAAGTAAGACTCCCTTACGCAGCAAAATTATTATTCCAAGAACTAATGGCGATGAACATTGCACCGCGACTTATGGTAATGTAATTGTGTAAAACTCAAATAATTGTTTAATTTCATAATTTAATAATAAATGTAATTTAATTTGAAATAAATGTTTTTTCAAAAATTTTAAAATGTATTTATTTAAAAAACGTCATTTCTTTTACTTTATGTTTACATGTCTCTTTGTATGCTGTAGGTGAATAAATTTTTCCAGAATAATTTTTTTTTTACCTATTTATTTACTTAAATTTTAATAAAAATCAAATTAGCCAGCATCTAAAAATTTTTATTTTTTTTATTGAAAAAATTATTTAAAAAAATAAAAAAAAATCCATTTGTAAAAAACTTGAAAAATTTTAAGTGCAATTATTGAAAAATATTTTTTTGTCCTAAAAAAAAATTAGAAACGTCGACTAACTTTAGTATTATTCAAAAATGAAAATTGAGTAAGCCGACAAGTAAAAATTTTTTGAATTTTTTTTATTAAAAAAATTATTACAAAAAAAAAATTTTTTTTAAATTCATTCTTAAAACTTTAAAAATTATAAGTGCAATTTTTTAAAAATATTATTTAGTTCTAATTTAATAATTAAAAAAAAAAAAAAATAATGTCGGCTAACTTTAATATTATTCAAATATAATTTATGTAGAAAAAAAAAAAAAAAACATTTATTATTAAAAAATTAAAAATGTACTTACTCGACAGTAATTCAATTGTTTAATTAAAATGCAAAACAAATTTTACCAAAAAAAAAAGCGCGGTTAAAAGAGTACAGTTGTCTGCGCAAAAGAGATGGATATAACTGACAAAACAAATGAAAATTAATTTAGCAGATATTTCATAATTTTTTCAACAAATAAATTATAGCAAAAAAAAATTGACATGTAGAAATTTGGAAAAATAAAAAATGCAATTTTTTAATAATTATTTTTGAAAAAAATTTTAAAATATCAAGTGACTGCTAACTTTAGTGTCATATAAAACAAAAACGAACTGCTTCTCAACAACGTTAGGTTATAATTTTAAAAAGTGACATAAATTTTATTTAATTTATACATTTTATACATTAAGAGTAAAGTGACATGTTGATATTTAAAAAAAAAAAAACTTTGAAAATAACACCTAAAACTTTTATAAAATAAATATAATTATTTAAATTTTTAAACTTTCAATTATTAATTGTAATTATAAATAAGGTTATTAAAAAAAAAATTATAAATGGCTGAAAAAGAACCAAAATGTGTTCTCTGTGGAAGCGATGAAGGAAAAATAATTATTTTTGTTGAAAAAACATTAAAAAAATCTAAAGAATTTTTACCGATCCGTAAGAAGTTTAATTTAAAATACGGTAGCGCTAAATTACCTGAAAATGTCAACACTACTGACGGATACCATAGAGAATGTTATAGTGGCTTTACAGCATTATTGCCAAGGTACCGTAATTCTTCTCCTGATGAAAGTATAAATATTAAAAAAAAAAAATTAAAAGCTGAAAGTGTTTGTTTTTACTGTGAAAAAAATCAACAATCAGCTGATGACAGGCAGGAGATTTATCACTCTTCAAACAACGCTAAAATTTATGAAAAAATAACAGAATGGATGACAATATTAAAAAATGATAAATTGTTAAAAAAAATTAATTATTTAAAATCTGCCAGTGGAACGGTTTTTTATCATCACTTTTGTGAGTTAAGATATTTTAATAATTATAGAAAAGTAATTGCAGAAACTCCAAATCCTTCCTTGCAAATTCATAAATCTATTTTTAATAAAATTGTATTAATAATAGAAGAAGAAGTGGTTAAGAAGAAATGTCCTCTGTTATTATCTTCTCTTTGCGATTGGTATAATTATAAATTATCTCATGAGTTAAAACTTAAGTCTGAATCTGATGCGCGCTTGATGACAAATTTTGAATTTAAAGAAAAAATTGTAAAACATTTCAAGAAGACAATTAAAATTTTAAACAATGATAAAAAAAATGTAATTGTTCATCCAGATTGTAATTCTTTAGAAGATGATGATTTTATAAAGCTTGAAGAAATGGATATTATTGATAAAGCTGCGTTGATTTTACGGAAGACTATTTTGGAAATTAACAGCGACTGTTTGATTCCGGAAAAATTAGATGAATTTTTTAAAGTATTGATCAAAGGTAGAGATTTTTGTCGCAAAGATATTACTCTTGATAATTTAAGCAACTCGATGGCTTCTGATTTAATTTTTTGTGTGAGTAATAACGCTGTTATACCTTCTAAGCATGTTACTCTTGGTAAAACTGTAAAAAATCTTTCAAATAGTAGAGAAATTATTGATACTTTGAATAAATTAGGACATTGTTGTGATTATGAAACTCTGGAAAAATTTGAAACTGAAGATAATGTTTCTTCTTTACAAAGTTCGAGAGTTGATTCTTCTGATAAAGAAGAACTTAATGAAGAAGAAATGTTATTGGATGCTGAAGAAATAGACCGAGATATTATAATTGATTGTGATTCTTGGGATGAATTTGATGGAAAAAATATTATTGTTGAAAGTGAGAATTTTAATGAATCACCACCGATGAAAAAAAGGCGAATTTCTGGAGAGATTTTTGTGTTAGACTAATTTTTTTGTGCTGAAAAAATATGTGTTCTTAAAAAAATTTTAAATGATGTTATATTAATAAATCTATTTTTTTTTTTAATTTTAATTATACTTACTTATATAATATAATTAATTGTTGATTATTGAAGTTAATTAATAAAAATAATTGATAAGATGTAAAATAATATAAATATTGACAAAGATATTTATTTTTTAAATAATAATAATAATAATAATTGGAATTTTATAATAAAATAAAGTTATAACTCTTGAAAAATTATTAGTTTTATTTTAATTAAAATATAATAGTTATTAAAAATATAAATCACAAAAAGTTTGTTTAAATTAATACTTATCAACTTTTGTTATCTGTTGAAGAATTGCCACTGGTACTGTAGTATGGATCAAAAGCGACGTAGCTTACATCGGTAAGACAAAAAGTGGAACGACAGTGAGGACAACTGCTTTTTATTTGCACTAAATTTTCAATTGGTTTTGTTAAATCAATTGATGTTGTTATGAACCTGAAAATAATTGTAGTTTATGAGTAATCTATATTATTAAGAGAATAAGCAAAATTTTGTTTTTAGGATAGTCATATGATAAAATAGGTTTTATTTAGAGAAATTTAGTGTCATTGCAAAGGTTTTAACTTGAATTTGTGTCTTTTTAAGGTTTCATATCATTCTCACTGATAACAAATTTATTATGATAAGTATATAGGCTGCATTTAAAAAGTCTCTTTCGCTAGATACGTAATTAAGAAATGAACTTGTATCTCGTGAACTATTGACATTTTTAAAGATATAAGCTCATCCCAGTGTTACACTCATCACGACCTTTCATTTGAGTACCTACATCAATTTTTCATATATTTATATATATTATATATATGTATATATGAAAAATATATTAAAAATTCATATGAGTACTCAAATAAAAGCTTTTGATGAGTGTAACATCGGGATCACTTTATATCTTTAAAAATGTCAATAGTTAAAAAATGACATTGTATTCTGTGAATTATTGACATTTTTAAAGGTATAAGCTCATCCTGATGTTACACTTATCGAGACCTTTCATTTGACTACCCACATCAACTTTTCATATATTTTATATATTTATATATATTATATATATGTATATATGAAAAATATATCAAAAATGCATGATGGTACTCAAATGAAAACTCTTGATGAGTGTAATGTCAGGGTGAGCTTATATCTTTAAAAAGGTCAATAATTATGAAATGACCTTGTATTTTGTGAACTATTGACATTTTCAAAGATATAAGGTCATCCCGACATTGCACTCATCGAGACCGTTCATTTGAGTACCCACATCAAATTTTTATATATTTATATATATGTATATGTATATTTATATATGAAAAATATATCAAAATGCATGTGGGTACTCAAATGAAAGCTTTTAACGAGTGTAACATCGGAATGAGCTTATATCTTTAAAAACGTCAATAGTTAAAGAAGTACAGAGCAATTTAACAAAATTCATTTTAATCAAGTTCTCATTTATTGAGAAACAATTAATAACATACCATTTTACTAAACAATCGATGCATAATCTTGGAGGACAATTGCATGGTCTACATGCAGGGTTATTGTCTACAGCTGGAATATCCGGACAACGTTTTACTAATTTAATATCTGATGTTGCATTAATACAAACAGCACATTTTTCCAATTCCTATAAGAGTCAACATAGTTATAACCATTATTACTTTATGTTCATTTATTTTATAACAAATTAATGATTAAAAAAAAATATATATATATATATACTTCATTAGTAAAATAAATAGGATTTTTAGTAATTTCTTCTTTAATCCAATCAATGCATAACTCTCTCAATCTTTTAGGAAATTCACATTTGGGCATTGTAACAATCTCCATTGTAACTTTTCCCGTAAAGTTTTCAACATCGTTATAATTTAATCTTATGGTAAAATTTTTTCCTCCTGGTTGCGTTGTACAAACCTAAAATGAAATCATCTATAAGTAACTAAATTATAATTATAATTTTTTATTTAATTATTATCAACTATTAAATTATATTCACAGTTTATCACTTACGCGATATTTAACATAAGTTGATCCAATATCTTCAATTGTAGATGATGGATTAGTGTACGTATTAACTTTAAAGCATACTAGCTTAGTATTAGCTTGATTGGCTATATTCAAATTGTAGGATGAAACTTGTATGATCCAATTATCCGTTACAACAACTTTTGTCACTGTATTTGTAGCTATTTGTAACTTTGTCAAACTGTAAAAAAATAACATTGAAATTAAACTTTTTTTTTTTTTTTTTTTTCAAATGTAAATGTGCTTTCGACATTATGTTTAGAAGTAAATAAAAAAATTGGCTTTTTCATTAGAAATAAATTTACATTTATCCTTCTCCTTAAAAAAATATCTGGAGTTCTCGGTCTGTATATTTTAGCTTAGACCAAATATTCATTCAAAATATTATTCTGTCTTACAGGAAGTCTTACTCATTAAAATATTTATTATACATTTAGAAAAAAAAAAAATACCTTTGAAATTCTATATTAACATTAGAAGCTATATCAATCCATGATTTATTATCATTATCACAATAAATAGCTAATTTTTTCGCTATTGGATGCTGCGACCAATTGTTTCTTGACCAGTTAATAATTCTCGCCAGAGTATAAAGTGGTCCTACTAATGCACAAAGAGATAAAGTCAACCATAATGAATGCTCTGTACCAATTAATAATTTCACAGCATCAATGTAACCCAGCAGTGTTAATCCGATGATATAAACTGAAGAAGAAAATTATTGAATTATTAATCAAAATCAAAACAGTATTGGTGAACATGTTACTCTTATTAAACAAAATTATTAAAAATGATTTCACAATGTTAAATGCCTATAATGCTTATAAGCAATAAGAGTCTGCAAAATTAATGAAAATTAATTTAGCAGATATTTGATCATTTTAAGAATTGTTATAAGCAAATAAATTATGGCAAAAAAAGTAGAAAAAAAAATTGATATATAGAAATTAAAAAAATAAAAAATGCAATTTTTTGAAAAAAAATTATGAAAATTAATTTAGCAGATATTTGATAATTTTAAGAATTTTTTTAACAAATAAATTATGGCAAAAAAAAAAAGTAGAAAAAAAAATTGACATGTAAAAATTTAAAAAAATAAAAAATCCAATTTTTTTTTTTAATAATTTTTTAGAAAAAATCTATTTGTTAAAAAAAAATTAAAAAATTGTTAAGTGACTGCTAACTTTAATGTCATAAGAAATTAATTTGTTAAAAAAATTTTTAAATGGTCAAATGATTGCTAACTTTAAGGTCATTTTTTAACCATATCAAATTATTTTGTTTAATCAGAATATTTATATCCAAACTTACCAAAAGGAAGCAACGAATGTACAAGAAAAGTAATTATACTTCTTTTAATGTGATATTGCACAAATGTTCTAGATTCATTACCCAACCACGATGAAAATACTTCTGAAATAGTGAATCCTGCTGATACAAATTCTTGAGGAGGATAAACAATTCCCGCAACAAATAAAATATAAAATATTGTATACGCTATTATGTTAGACATTTTTTCTTAGTAATTAAATAATATCAATTTATAAATAACTGATTGAAATAAAAAATTTATAATTATTTTATAAATAACAAAAATAATATGTTTGAACTGTTTTTCACTAGTTTTTAAATAATATGTGTACGTGGATAAATATATAAACTTATGTTTATATTTATGATTTTTGATGACGTCATAACTATTCAGTCAAATTGTAAATATAAAAAGTAACAAAATAACTTTTATCTGTGCGTATATTCGGTTATTAATAATATTTTTCGCATCACGATATAAAAAATAAAACTAGTTAGAAATCAGGTTATAATTTTTATGAATATTTACATTTTTATAAATACTAGCTATAGAAAAATGTCAGAATCAAACAAACAGATCCGGTTTTTTTCAACGTGTGGTAAAATCATTTTGGCGCGCGATCATTGCGCCATCTTGTTTTTTCAAATTCTAAATTCGGAAAAAAATTTTTAATTTAATATTTTGTTTGTGATTAAATCTTTGATAAAAACTATTAAACCTAAATAATTAATAAAAATTTTCAATGAATTTAATTAAAATTAAGTTAGCCGACATCTAAAATTAAAAAAAATTTTTTTTAACAAAGTTAAAAAAAAAATTCAATTTTAAAAAACTTTAAAAACTATAAGTGCAATTTTTAATAAATAATATTTAATTCTAATTTAATAATTAAAAAATAACTCCAAAATTTAACAATGTCGGCTAACTATTATTGAATTTATATTTTTTATTATGACACTGAAGTTGACAGATATTAATTTAAAGATTTTTTTAGAATTTTATAGCAATTAAATTATTTTAAAAAAATTTAATTAAAAAGTTCCACATGTGAAAATTAATAAAAATTACAAATGAAAATTTTTAGAAGCATTTTTTTATTGTAATTGATTTGTTAAAAAAATTGTTAAAATTGACAGCTGACGATTAAATTAACTTCAGCATTATTTTTTATTTTGTTTTATTCAATGACGGTGATTTGTCCTGTGGAATAATTATTTTGCATTAAACTTAAAAAAACATTTTTTTTAATACCTTTTAACAGATAAAACTAATGTTATTGACCTACTCAAGGCAAACAATAAAAATGAGATGATGCAAAGGCCGAAAGCCAAAGAACATACTCAACTTGTAGCTGAAAATATAGAACACTCTCTAATATTCGAGAGAGGACGCCCCGATCAATGAAGTAAAATAAATACCAGCAATTTTTTTCGAAAGAATAAATAATTTTATAGTATTTTGCAAACAAAATTTGATTGATGATTTGATTAATTAAATGATAACGATGATAGGAGATAATTACTGTATTAGAGTGAAAAATAAAAATGAATGGGCACTCGAAAATTCGAGATTATTCGGTAGATACTGAATGTGCTCGATGCGTCGAGAATGTTCACGCCTCATTATGACGACTGGGGACAACAGCCTCGATCAATAACATCTAAAAAAAACAGTAATTACCGTGGAAAATGTATATTCTGACAATGTTTTTTTGGAGTACATTTAATGATTATTAATTAAATAATAATATTAATAAATTATGGATTGAATAAATAATAGAATTATTTATAGAAATCTCGAATATTCTACATTATTCTGAAAGTGCTAAATAATTAAAAATGAGCAGACATATTTAACAATTGCTGATAGGCATTTTTAATAAGCTGAGTAAACTTTTGTTTCATATTAATTATGATAAAATAAGAAAAACAAATGAAATTGACAAATAAAATTATTTGGATTACATAGATAGAACGTGAATGTGCGCGATGCGTCGAGAATATTCACGCCCCACTCTGGCGACTGGGGACAAGAGTATATAAGCAGTCGCGCTGACTGCAGCCGGTACCAGTACACAAAAATAAAGCAAACTATTAAGACGTTAAGTGAGGAGTTAAAAGTTAAGTTAAACATAATGCCTGCCATTGGTATTGATCTTGGAACAACATACTCCTGTGTGGGAGTGTGGCAACAAGGGAAAGTCGAAATCATCGCCAACGACCAAGGTAACAGAACAACACCCAGCTATGTTGCCTTCACGGACACCGAGCGACTCATTGGAGACCCAGCTAAGAACCAGGTGGCGATGAATCCATCCAACACAGTCTTTGACGCCAAACGACTCATCGGCAGAAAGTTCGACGATCCCAAAGTCCAAAGTGACATGAAGCACTGGCCTTTCAAGGTCATCAGCGAGGGTGGTAAGCCGAAGATCCAGGTGGAGTTCAAAGGAGAAGTCAAGAGGTTCAACCCGGAGGAAATCAGTTCGATGGTCCTTACGAAGATGAAGGAAACCGCCGAGGCTTACCTGGGACAAAAAGTGAGAGACGCGGTCATCACAGTGCCAGCATACTTCAACGATTCGCAGCGTCAGGCCACCAAAGACGCGGGTGCGATTGCTGGACTGAACGTCCTCAGAATAATCAACGAGCCCACCGCTGCTGCTCTAGCCTACGGGCTGGACAAAAACCTGAAAGGTGAGAAAAATGTGCTAATATTTGATCTCGGTGGTGGTACCTTTGACGTTTCCATCCTGTCAATCGATGAGGGATCACTCTTCGAGGTCAAATCAACTGCCGGTGACACACATCTTGGAGGAGAGGACTTCGACTCGAGATTAGTTGACCATCTTTGCAAGGAGTTCGAACGGAAATACAGGAAGAACCTTAAGAGCAACCCCAGAGCTCTTCGAAGATTAAGAACAGCTGCTGAACGTGCCAAACGTACTCTGTCATCCAGTACCGAAGCCAACATCGAGATCGATGCTCTCTTCGAGGGTATCGATTATTACACCAAAATCTCGAGAGCACGGTTCGAAGAACTCTGCGCTGATCTTTTCCGATCGACTCTGGAGCCTGTAGAAAAAGCACTGGCTGACGCCAAGCTCGACAAAAAATCCATCCATGACGTCGTCCTCGTGGGAGGTTCTACTCGCATCCCCAAGATCCAGTCGATGCTCCAGAACTTCTTCTGTGGAAAAGCACTCAACTTGTCCATCAACCCCGACGAGGCCGTGGCTTATGGTGCAGCCGTGCAAGCAGCCATCTTAACCGGAGAGGGCGACAAGAACTCCGCCCTCCAGGATGTTCTTCTTGTGGACGTTGCTCCCCTATCTCTGGGTATCGAAACAGCAGGTGGAATGATGACCAACATCATCGAGCGCAATGCCCGAATTCCCTGCAAACAATCCCAGACATTCACCACGTACGCCGACAACCAGCCCGGCGTGTCCATCCAAGTCTACGAGGGTGAACGAGCAATGACCAAGGACAACAATCTGCTCGGCAAATTCGAGCTCAGTGGAATAGCACCTGCTCCACGTGGTGTGCCAAAGATCGATGTCACCTTCGACATGGACGCCAATGGAATTCTGCACGTTACCGCCAAGGATACCGCCAGTGGTCGTAGCAACGACGTTCGAATTACCAACGACAAGGGACGTCTCTCCAAGGAGGAAATCGACCGCATGCTTTCTGATGCTGAACGGTACCGCGAACAAGATCAACAACAGCGGGACAAAGTAGTAGCTCGTAACCAACTTGAGACCTACGTCTTCTCGGTCAAGCAAGCTGTCCAGGACAACGGATCACGTTTGAGCCAGTCTGACAAAGACCAGGTCACTCGGCTTTGCGATGAAACCATTCAGTGGCTAGACAACAACACCTTAGCCGACCAGGAAGAGTACAAACACAAATTAGACGAGCTTCAGAAGCAATGCTCTCCAATCATGACCAAACTCCATCAAGGTGGTGGAGGCGCCAACCCTGCAGATTCCCAGAGCTGTGGAGCACAGTACGCCCAGGGAAACAACAACAGCTACTCCGGGCCTACGGTTGAAGAAGTTGACTAAACAACAACATCGTGATCTCTACATTCCCGAATAATTAAAAAAAAAAAAAAAAAAACCAAGCCAAAGTAAACAAATGTAAATAAACAAAAAACAAAGTGATATTGAAACTCCCAAGACTGGTGCTAGGATGAATATGACAGCAAGTGAATGGGTATCTAACTTTATTCATTGGTAAATTTGTTTGATTACTGTTTTCTGTCAAAAATTTATTGCAGATTTCTGTAATAATTTTTTGACTTTAATAGTCGTCTGACAAATTTATCCGTGAGTACAGATGTTTTCAATTGTCACTTTATTAAATTATTCACTCGTTATCATATTCACCCTACTTTTATTTTTTAATATCTTTATTTGTAAGTTTTTTTTTTCTTTTTCTAAAAAATAACGTACGTTGTGAATAAAAGAATCAAAGACCATCATTGATTCATGTAACAAGAAAATAAAAATAAATTAATTTATTTTTTTTTAATTACTGAGTAATTATTTCAAATAACCACCCATCCCTCCTATTTCATAGTTTAATAAAAAATGATCATTAATTTAGCAGTAATTTTTAATTTTATTATTATAAGTTATTAATAAAAATATTCAACGGTAAGTATGAAATTTTTTATTTATAACATTAAACATTTTAAACTTCATTTCTATTAATAAATATATCAATGACAGTTAAATTTACTCTTATAAGTAATTTATAAATATTTTTTTCATTAAAAAAATTACACTTTCAAATGTTGACTAATATTAAATATGTATTTAAAAAAAACATTTATTTTCATTATCTTATTGTTGCTAATTTTTTTAATTAACAACAATCCAAAAAATATTACTGTTCTTCACAAAATTTAGTATTTATTAAAAAAAAAAAAAAAAAA